CTCATTGCTGCTTATCTGTCTTAATTCATTCAGTGCTTTTAAGTGTAGAGGGGAAGGATAGTTCAAAGCTCAGGAAAGAGAAGATTTTTCCCATGAACAAACTTTCGCAGTATCTTCAATCTGGTTAATCAAGCAGCAGGTTAATGCAAACTCTAAAGTTTTTTATACTCTTAATCTGTTTAATTGTTCTTAAGGAGAGCATCCACTCCTGGGGTGGAGTGGATGGAGATACAGTTTTGAATCTTTCAGGGCCTGGATGCTGTAACACCACAAGTCCTTCAAGAGAATGTGTGCGGTGTAACAATGTTTTGAACAAAGTTTGGTTTTAGAGAAATAAAAAAAACAATAGAAAAAAACCATTTGAAATGTGAATGTGTCATATATGTGCAGCTGATCGAGGGATGATCCATGAGTAGCAATAATGAAGTTGCTGAAGTTGCTCAGAGGTACATGTCGCCTGAAGCCTGAAGCCTGAATCCAGCTGGATCACCTGACATTGTTGGAACATATCTTCCTCTGGTGGTCACCTCTGAAACTGCAACGATAATAAATCCTGCACACTATAGTATGCAAGTAAATTATACCAGACTGTTCTGAACATCTCTGCTTCATACATTCAGCACATTGCACACAAACTTAGTTTTGTTGTAAATTTGGTTGTATAAACCCTCCGTGTGCAGTTTATTAGGAACACCTAGCTAAAACTATTGCAGTCCAACACAACAGTCCTGCAGTGAACCCCCCTTCATGGTTATAATGTTGTTTGTTATTCACCAGAGAGGTGTTTCTGTTATTTAGCTTACCCTCACTGATGTCACTGGGCTGGATAAATGAATAATAACACCTGTATAACACTATACAATTTAACAGCACCACAAACTACAGCCTCTAAAGTGGCCATACAGTTGAATTTCTGAAACACAAACTGAACATTACATCCTTCCTTATTGCAGGACTGTTGTTTTAGCCTGACTTAGTGTAAGCGAGGTGTACCTATTAAACTGCCAACTCAGTGTATTTGTCATTGTGTATCTATATGCTTGTGTAATATTGTGTGTTTATAATTTTTTGTTATTATACTTTTTAAAGTTTTACCTCCGCTCAAACATATGTTGTATTTTATGTGACTTCACTTGACTGTTCGAGCTTCGCTTATCTGCAGATGTTTTCACCTTCATCTGAGTTTCTCTTTTCACACTGAATCTCAGTTTCACATGTGCAGCTACCAGAGGGATTTTATAACAGTACGACTTGTTTAGACGTCAATCCAGTACACAATTTACACAAGAAGGCCTTTGACGTGTAACCTTAAGAACAGGACGCATACAGTGGGAGTGGACTTTTCAGTAGTATAAGACATAAAATGATGAATATTTGCATAGATTCTGGATTTTATGACGCAGTAAAATGAGTGTTTTATAATAGGAATTTTGATAAAATGATTTAACGTTTTTGAGGTACAAAAATATCAGACACAAATTATTATTCAAAGCAGAGGGTTTTATATATATAAAACTTGTGGAGAGCAGATCTTTAAGTTACCTGTAAACTTTTTTGCCTTCTTACTTTTATATTATTGTGCCGATACCTGCAATAAAAACACTAAATAACATATACAAATATGTGAAAGATTGAAGTACCAGCTTGGATGACTGCTATTGATAAATTAGTGCCAATTTAGTCTCATCTTGCATCTTCATCCTGGTTTGTTTTCTAAATAATCTGCTTTGAATATACAGCATAAACCACACCAGCACAACAGACAAGACTCTTCCATCGTGCCCTAACACTGACATGTGGGAATTAGTTGTTGTTGCTGTGCCCACACAGTTGTAGACTGTCTTGACTTCTGTCAGCAGAAGGCCTTTATATAACAGTGTCAGACCGGAGCGATGTGCCTATATGTCCCACTGAAAACCTTCCCTTGAAGGTATCAAGTTGCTTTTCCCTTTGACTTCCTCAGCATCAGTGTGTAGGTTATTCTCCCAGCTTTTTTCTTATGTTTTTGGGGCACTGTTATTTACATGATGAACTGAGCTCTTTGAATCTGTGCAGTCATAGTTCAAGGTCTAGCTTAAGCCCCTTGTTTCCCTGGGCCTGTCCAGTGGGCTGATTTTGTCATTTTCCCATGCGCAAATGTAATATATGTACATATATTGAATTTCCTTATATAATATATTTACAAATAAAATATTGACATGTATGTATAATATATATATATATGAAACATATAAGTATGCTTATGCATGTATGCTTATAGAAATATGTTACATAAATATATATCCATCTCAAACCTATATATGTTAATAATATATACAGTGGATCCCAAAAGTCTGAGACCACTTTCCCAGAATGTGAAGAAACATGTATAAAATTAATTTGATAAACATAAACATATAGAATTTTATGTTATTTTAATGAGCTTGCATATATAGATTAAATCAATATCATTAACATATATGTTCCCAACATGTTATGCCATACACAAATTCATCATGTAGACATTTTTAATATATGTTCATGTACAAAATTTACTATGGGTATTTCATAAATGTTCAAATGTATATCTTCATATATCCAGAGGATGTAGGCCTATGTGATTGTGATATAAGTGACATCTATGCCAACATCACTCTTGATATAGGGACATATATATCTTATTTACATTTCTCTATGGGTGTCCATGGAGCCCAGGCCTGTCGGAAAAAATAACAATACACCATATGCTGACACGGACCAATCAGCTCTTGTCCTCCTGTCCAGCCATGTGCTGCATTAATTTGCAGCCTTTGCTAAAATCCTCATTGTGTGAGAGCTGCATTTCTGCCCCTGGTGAAGGAACGTATGCTGACAGTGAACCTATTCTCCCCAGCGCCCGGAGCTGAAGGAGGTGTTCTTTTTGTTTTTAGTTTTTTGTCTCTGCCTCTCAGTGACGCTCTTTCACACCTATAATAATTATTTGTCAGTTGTCAGTCAAATGAGTTTGTTTACATCAGATCAGCTGTAGGCCACATGCAGTGACGGCAACTCTTCTGATAACAGAACAGATATAAACAAAACATTTTCCAACAAACAGGAAATATGTTGCTATGGATACAGCGAGTTAAACTGGCCTTTTTTTGGCCCATGTTTGTTTACATTTTGGAAAATAAAGTGTAGTGAATTATCCATTTTAAGTTCCTGCTTGTTATGTACCACTTATGAACTGACAACTATCACTGATGCTTCTTCTTTCTCTGGTCTCTAATCAGATTTAAGGATGTTTATTTGCAGTGGTGTTGTCATGTCTGTGTGTTGTGTTCAGGTTTGACTTAATCATGATTCAGATTTTTGTCTGATGTGAGTTTCAGAGTGAGTTTCGGATGTTGATATTTGATGACTTGTTAAATGATCTTATTCATCTGATTTGGTTTGGAGATCAGTTTGAGAAAGAAAAGGTTGGACACCCCCATACTAAATAGAAACTAGAGCGTGGGGGTTCATCCCTGTCTATGGGAACAATTTGTGGATTTATAAAACGTGTGTGATAATCTAAACTCATTAGTTAACTCACTAACCTTTAGTTGTATCTCTTAATCTCATCTCAATTTATCAGCAAACTAGCATGCAAACCAGCCTAATCTAAACAAAGACTAATAATATTATAGATATATTAAGATGCTTTTGGTAGTATTGGAATATATCTGAGGATAACATGAAATTTCATCTCAACTTCAAATTTCCAAGGTAAATGCATCAAGACATAACTCATAATTTTATTGCTTCAGTCATTGAGAGTAAAAATAAATAATTAATAGTAATAATAATAATAAATAGCTTGAGCTAAGCAGTCTAACACAGCTTTCTACAGGGACTCCCATGGATTTCATGGCTTGGCTTCTGTCCTGGCATGCAGGGTGTATTGTGGGACCACACATACACAGGTATGTGCCTTTCTAAACTATGTCCAGTTTACCACATGAACTCAGGTCGAGTTCTAAATACATCACAATTATAATTAAGCAAACGCCGAACCATTATTTTGAGTGCAACAGCATCATTTTAATAAACGACCACTAGGCTACACTAGAGGTCTTGATAGAAGATATGGTCTCCTCTCATCTTTTCCTTTTCTTAGGGATCTTTATTGTGTCAGCCTGGTGTAGCAGAAACACTATGTCAGTATTCTGAACTCTGGTAATTTTAATGTTTAGGGAAGAAAGTCTTTTCTTTGAAATACATGTATTAATTCAAATGTACACATAACACAAAAACTGTGCCAAGCTGTGGTAGAATTTATTAAAATGTGTATGTGAAATTGCTGAATCACTGTTGCATTGGCTTCGTTGCCAGACTATCCATTTGTGAAGATTGTTGTGCTGGAGAAGAGACTGACTATGACCTTGTCCTCATTGAAGTTTAGTGAAATAATAGGCTATTGAGCCATTGTTTCCTGGGCCCAGAATACATACATTCATTAAGACAACTTTCTTTATTCATCAAAAGTAAATTACATCTTCATGTGTTGAAATTTTCCTAGTGTGTTAGGATGTTAATTTTACTCAGGGTTAGGAGAAGCAGTGGTATAATGTAAAATGCCAGGAGTAAACACCAAAAGATAAGGTCATTACAAACTCACAGTGTCACAGACTCAAACTATGAAGGAATTTTTAATTACAAATATATTTATTTTAATTATGGAGTACTAGGATTTTTAAATTATTTAAGAATAATCACAAATGAATGGAAAAATTAAGGATAAACATAAAAATAAAAAAGAAAATACACAGAGTGGTGGCAGGGCTGTGCAACAGAAAATAGCTGTGACCTGTAAAGTTTTCTTTGGAAGAAAAATATAAATATAAATATATTCATACGAAAACTTGACTATTATTCAATAAACAAATTCATTATCAAAATCAAAAACCAAAATGAGATTAAAATTAAACTAGTGGCCATAATTAAAATGTGCTATCTGAGCCGTTTCTGTGACTCTGTTGTCATGTGACGTGACATGACAACATGTTAGGTTGCTAAGTTAGCTAGTAAGCTAGCTTTGCTAAGCTCAACAAATGATGCGGCTAGTGGAGAACCCCGGTTTGTTACGTGCCTGCACGACCGCCTAACACTACCATGGCTTTGAAGAGATGAACCGACTATGTCGGGAATTTTAAAGACAGCCCCGGAGTCAGACGACAGGAAAACGGTAAGTTAGGCCTTCTGTGGCCGCAATGGTAGCCTCAGCTAACACAGCACAGTAAGATAATCAGCTAGCGTTAATTCTGCAGCTTGCAGCATCAACACCCAGCGTTACATAACACTCGATAAGTTAACATTATGTTAGTCTTTCAGTTGAGATTTACTTTCAAATGTGACAGTTCAACTACAGCTGACGTAATTTCAGTGAGCTGTACGGTAATTAACATGTGACCTAAGTTAACGTGAAGTATCTTTAATAATCGAGCTGACATTAGTGCAGCTAGTAAGACAGACAGCTGCTTGTGGAGCTGACCGAAGTGGCCAAACTTTGATTTGTATTCGCTGCCACATGGAGATGGTCAGAGCTAAGCAACCTATGACAGCACGCTCATCAGCAGCCTCTACACACTGGGGATGTACCTGCCAGTTTGCCATAATCACATTTTCACCTGCGGTCAGAGGATGTGATGTGTGGAGAGTGTATTAATGCTCTGTTGTGACTCTAATATTACTGTTCATTGTCAGCGAAGTAGACACTGATACTGGGAGTTAAAATAATGGAGTTTTTTCATTGTACATGCACCAGTGTGCTCTACCTCATCATCATCTGTTACTTGAATGAGTATATAACTATTTATATAAGATTTGTATATGCTTTTGCTCCTATAATGTACCTAATAATGTAAGTAGGGCTGCACCATATGCAAAAAAAAAAATCCATCATATTTTAGTTATTCTGGCAGATATTGCAATATGCAATTTCAGTTGGAGTGGTCGTTTTTGCATTTAATTTCCACTGAAAAAATATGAAAATTATGATGTGATTTTTGTTGGGTCTTGTACCAACAAACATGTTCCCTTATGTCTGGAGATGTTTTGTAGGCAGGGGCGTCTCTGTAGCACCACAACTCTTATGCACAACAATGTTGTGACACATATCATATTACAATTTTGATAATATTTTGATAAATACATAGATAGATAGATAGATAGATAGATAGATAGATAGATAGATAGATAGAAATTCATGATAATTGTGCAGCCTTATATACAAGTAGAGCCCGACTGATATATCGGTCAACCGATTTTATCGTACAATATTGGTCTGTCACAGATATATCGTATCTGCATTTATATTCTCTGATATGATACTTGATTAAGAAGCAATAATGCAGTGGAAATGCTCGGGTCAAGTCAAGTAATATAGGCAGCATTTTATGTATATTTGATCCTTTGTTTCCATTGATTTCTTTGTTGTTCTTATGTTTTTTTATTTATAGTTATTTATTTTCATAGTTATTTTATTTAATTCCCAGTGAAATTTACCATTCAGTGCACTGATGTCATTTTGGACAATAAAGTTCATTGTTAATCTGTAAAATGCTTGCTGCTTTTATTACATATCCTTTTCACAAGTGTTAATATATACAGTGTATATATCTGTATCTATATATATATATCCATATCAGATTTTTTTTAATCCCTAATATCGGCATCGGCCCCAAAAATCCAATAATAACATTAGCCATTGTTTTTTCATCACGTGTGAGTGAGCTGTGTCAGTAAACCAGCAGCATGAACACTGCATTTACATTGCATGTAAATGCAACCATGAGTATTGTTATGCATTACAACTGCGCCTTCCTTGCTACAACAAGTCAGAGGCTGTATCAGATATGATTCCATATTTATTATATAGTGAACCACATTTACTGTCTGAAAACTGAGTGAAAATTTTAAAGTGTCCTCAAAAACTCCCACAATTAAATTATAAAATGACATGGTGTCTATACTACTTTTTGATTGATTGACAGTCCCATAGTGCAATGGGTCACATTTTATAGATGTGAAAGTCACATTCCCGTGAAGCAGAATGATTATGATTAATACGTGTCGGAAGTTTACTGTTCACTATAGAGCCTCTGGTTAACTATATGAGAGACTGATGACTGCTGTTAAAGATTCTTAGTTTACGTGGCTGTTGCTCTGTTTACTTGATTATTGAGAACACCTGTTACTGATATGTAAAGGTGTAAAAAAAAATTACGTTTCTGTTCACCAAATTTTCCCCACAACAAAAGGTTAATTCATGAATATTTATCAGTGATATTGAAAGGGACACTTTATAGTCTGGTCCTGTGATAAAAAATAAAACTAATAAGGAAACACGTAAGCCACATATTTAACATGATGTATTTTTCTTAATAATGCTATGAATTGGAGCTGCAATGATTAGTCAATCAAACAAGTAGTCGATTAACAGAAAAATAATCAACAACAAATTTTATAATCAACTAATTGTTGCAGTAATGTTTCATGCAAAAATAGTGAAAAAATGTGAACACACCTTCAAGATGTATCACTTAATGAGTTAAACAATTAACAATTAATTGAAAAAAAGTAATAGGCAGATGAATCTGTACTGAAAATAATCATTAGTTACACTCCTATACTTTTTTAGTCCCTAACCCCCCTTTGCTCATCTTGACCACTGAGCAGGTCTACACACCTGCTTTTGAGGGCATGGCTGTAATGCTGCTTTCTATTATCCTCAAATATGAGGCTTTATAGCCTCCAGACTACAGACTGAGACTACAGGAGCCTTGCTCTTAGCAGAAGTGGCATCGTCATCTAAATGTGACCTGTCTTTGAAGTTGCAAAAGATGCTTTTCATCAACATGTCACCTTTTTTTTTTTTTACGGAGAAATAGTGATTAGCAGATAAAGCATGCTCAAAAGCTTTATTTCATTATCAATTTTCCAGTCTCATCAGATCCTTTCCCCTCACTGCATGTTTGACACATGATGCTAGCAGGTAGTGTTGCAATGTGATGCTGGACATGTAAGATAATGAGTAAAACAGACCACTAGATTTCTGATTGGTGGCTGATGGGCTGATTGGCCACACAGTAAATACCAGTGGTACTGTTTTGAGTGAGACTGTGACAGATAGCCATGCTGTAGTATTGTGAAGGCTGTCTATCCCATTGGTTTGCCTGTTGTGTGATTAGGATCCCTTCAGACACATTATCATGGATTAAACATGGTGTCAGGAGCACCATCTCGTCAGCCATATTACTTTATTAGCACCCTCAGTGGAAACGACTCTCACATCCCACACTCATTAGCAGCAGCTCTGAAAGATAACTCTCAGCCTTCACACCACATTTCTCATGTCCAACAACAAACTGGCTTCCCAGTGGGCATGTGCTTATGGATCTACTACAAATGTGTGAAGTGTTGTGAATTTATTCTTTGCTAGTGGTTGAGTGAAGAGATTAATATGTGGTATAATATTTAGCTCAGTTTTATACAATAGTTAATATTTGATGTACACACATCATATTTTCTCATGAGGAACACCTTCTCATTCACCAGCTTGTTATCAAGAGCTTCCTTTAAACAATGCCAAGTGGTGTCAGGCTGCAGCCGAACAGACTGCTGAACTGATTGGATAGGCTTCTTTCCGGCTGTAATGTTGGAAACGCTTCAACCAGTGTCATACTAGGTTTTGGTGCCATATCAGTTTGTAACGAGTAAGTGTGGATTACAGTGTAAAAGAAGTCCAAAAACAGCTGTGAATGGAAAAAGACAGGTTCTAACTTTACACCATCAATTATTCACAGACTACAGGAGCCCAACTCTTCACAGAAATGGCTTTGTGACCTAAATGTGACCCGTCCCTGAAGTTGTAAAAGATGCTTTCGAAAGCCCTGCACACTGAACAAAAAGTAAAAAAGTAAAGTAAAAATATTCAGTATATTTAAATATTCACTAAGTGTAAATGTAAATGACTTTGATTTCAAAGTAAAGATCAATCAGTGCTTTGTTAATTTTCTTAGTACATTCATAGTATACAAATATAGCAAACAATAATGAGAATTTCAGGTTCAAAAAATTACCTAGAATCATTGCTGTGAGGAATTAGGTACTTTCTCAAAAATATATTGAGTTCAACAAAACAATAGCATTTTACAGAAACGCAAGTATAAATAATAAATTACTGTTGGCTGATTTCCATTCAGCTGCTTTCTTATCTGGGTGCAGCTAGAGGCCTTTTTTAGGTGAAACATATTTTGTTAGAGGTGGCTCAGTCTCACCATGGCTTACTGGGACAGAGCCATTGTCAGTGTCAGTAGTAATACCTGTGCTTTTCATGCTATGACAAGTCAAAATGACTACTGTGTAAAAGGCCAATTTAAAATGAAATTTACATCAGTTTCTGCACATAATATTTTGTCACATTGATTCAGTCATTTATTGTTTAAAAATAATAAAATACTATGTACACATAAGTAAGTAAACTTTCCTTTAATGCTTCACATACATCAGATCAGATCTCATTTTCAAGTATTTCTGCCACATCAGTCTCCAAAAGCTGATTAAAGATACTCAGATTCAGAAATGGATTCTAATTCAAAGCACAGCGTGGAATATGATGGAGGTTTGTATGCTATCAGGATGAGAAGCAGCTTCATAGCCTCTGATATCAGGCTACATAAATCAGATGTGCAAGTTGCTCGCAAGCTCCATAATAGCTTGTGGATGTATTCACTTGAATAATTGATAATTGTGGCATCAGCCTTGTAAAGTAGGAAGAATTTGCTGAATCTCAAACACAATTTAAAATATTCTTACAAGCTGAAATGGAGTTCAACTTGAGGGAGATGAGTGTACTTTGGTGTGTGCTTATCTTGAGACTCCATGTGCCCTGTTTAGGTGCCGCTGAAGTCAGTGCTGTTTGTAACTCAGCACCTTGGATCTCGGATGTGCTCCTAGCTCCCACTGTTGTCCCCAGGCCACGCCCACCTCCTCCCAGAGGTGCAGTGGTCAGACTGACACATGAGCTGCTGACTTGGTAGCTCAGTTTGCACATTTCCCTCTCTCCCCTGGGTTATCCTGCCAGGCAACGCCGCTTACACTCCCCATATCTCATTTGGGTGTGCACCTTGTGACTGTTTGCATTATCAGCACAACCAAAGCTTGTGCTTGTAAGCTGATTTTTTTTTTTCCATTTTGCCTTTGACACCATGTTTATTCACACCTTTCAGCCACCTTGCAATGGCAGCTGGTGTCAGCGTACTCAGTGACCTTCCTTACTCCATGACTGGAGCCCACAGTGGAGAGATCAGCACAGAGATGGAGACAGGTAGGAGAGCTCTGCAACACACAAACAACACAAAGAAAACGCTGGTGGTTTTTATGATAATGACTGTCGACTGTGAAGTTAAATTGCCATTTTATGTAATGTTGGAGTTGGAAATTAAATTCATTTTCTTTAAATTAAATATGCTCTTTAGTGTGGGACAAAAATTTCAGGTGAAACACACTGTACTTTTATCTCAGCTGTTATAAAAAAGCAGGGTTAGTTTTTTTTTTGTCATGAAAATGTATGAATGTTATATGAATGTTATTGATGTGGCTGGAGGTTTGCGTTACTCTTAATTGAAGTGTAAGGTTCTCCAGATGGATATAATATACTTGGAAATATAATGGAAAGTGTCCTGTGGTATACATATATATATATATATATATATATTAGAAATTGGAACAATTTAATATGCTAAGGCAGCTTCAGGAAAAGATTACAGGAGGTTTGGTGTGGACCTCTGATAGTGGGTCTTTTCTGTAGCCAATTTCCTGAGTTGACCTTGTTTAAAACTGGTTCTTATTGGAGAATAACCACAAACCCACAATAAATCTGTTTTCATATTTTATGGTTTTAATTGACATATTTGACTAAAAGCAAAACCTGATCATAACTTCCTCTAATTGCAGGCTATGTGATGGTTTGGCCTTATGAACTATTCCCTCAGTTCAAATGTCTTGTCTGTATCTTTGAATTATCCTTATACTGGCTTTCTTAAATATAATATAATAATCACTTTGGAAGAAAATCTGCTACTGATTATAAGACTAGATAATAAGTCAGTTCATGGAAAGCATGCAAACAGGTAAAACAGAGGAGAGGTGATGAATGCAGCCAGTCCTCTAATGCTGCAGCCCTCTCTCATCTTTGCTGTTTGTCAGTGTGCCTGCTGCTCCCCCACACTGAGAGCCTCCATGAGCCAGCAGTATCATGTCACCTTTTGGCTTCAGTTGGACTGACTGCTGAATTGTTGAGTGGACTTCAAGCACAATGTCTGTGTCCCAGTCACATAGTCTTGTCTTAATGGAAGTTGTTAGTAGCGGTAGTGATATTTGAAAATATAGTCCATAAGTCCATAAAACAAGTAGATCCAGCTGGTTCCAGCTTTGAATGTGGATCTTCTTGTTTCTCTTAGTTGAATTGTATTGTTAACTGAACCTCATCAGACAAAATATTCAAATGTACAAAATAGTCAGTTTGACTTTGGGCTTTGATCATCTTCAGTGGGCATTTTTTAGACTAAAAGATGAATATATTAAGACAATGAAAGGTTCAACTTGTAGCCCTGGAAAAATACTAGCACTTTCAAAAAAGCTGTCAAAGGCTTTCAAAATTCATAGTGTTATTCATTCAAATGTTACATCCCTATGGATTTTATGTTATGTAAACCACTTGGCTGTTGCTGATCCAATCAAAAGCGGGAAAAGGAGTTTGATTGTTAACACTGGTTGATGCTGTGTGTTCAGGGCTGTACCGACAGATGTATGGCCTTTTAAGCAACAAGCACGGCATTTTTCCTCTTTCAGTTACAAGCCGCCTGCTTTAGATCTGTGTGAATGCGTGTCTGTGTGTGTGCAGCATTCGCCCCCATCTACCTCCCACTGACGACTTTGGAGATGGTTGTCATGGTGACACTTCAAATGCTGCTGATAAACTGATGGGTTGTATTTGCCTCTCTTTGCCAATGGGTGATTGTTGTGTGATGATTCACCATGGGCACAGAGCTGTTGAGTCAGGAGCCTTTGTTAGTGCAGAGCTGCTTGCAGTGCACGTTGCGGCACAGCCCGCACTGTGAAATGCAGCAGCACAGAGGACGGCGCTCTTTAGCCGGAGAGATGACGGCGAGCGTGAGGAGGCATGACCGCAGGCACTCTGCCTCGGACGTCCTGCTGAAAGTCCTGCAGCGCAGACGCAGTTCTGTCCTGGAGATCCTCTCCTCCTCCTCCCACAGAGTCATGGTGGCCGTCAGCGTCAACCTGTCTCAGCCTCCGACCGAAAGCAAGACCAGGAGATGTAACCACACTGAACTACTGTTTGAGCATTGAAGGGTTTGATAATAACTTTAGCTGCAAGGAAAGATCAAACTGATGCACTGATGAGTATTGTGAAATTGTTAAAAAAAAAGTTTCTTATTTTTTTTTTCTCTCCAGCCAATGCGAGGGTCCCCACAGCAAAGTACACCAAGATGGGGGAGACCCTGAGGCATGTCATCCCCGGTCACATGCAGTGCTCCATGGCCTGTGGAGGGAAAGCCTGTAAATATGAAAATCCCTCTCGTTGGAGTAATGAGGAGCAAGCTATCAAAGGACTCTACTCATCCTGGTATGTTGTCTTATCACCGCCTTTCACACAGCCATCTGTGTTCATGTTCCTTTTTTTGTCAGCGCTGTTCTCGCTTAGTACGGGTCACTGAAGTCCACATCAATAGTTACATGAAAAGTCAATACATTTGTCCTGGTTTTTACTCTGCACTGTGATCATGTCAAAATGGAATCACTGAACAAGTCAGATATTTAGTTTCACTGCATCAGCATGTTTCCAGTGTCTTTGGATTTGTCTTTTGGTTTCTTCAGGTCTTGGAAATGGAGCTTTTGCTTTGTTATGAAGTTAAAACATTGTGTTTTTGCTGTTGATACCCCTAACTTGTCATATTCTCCACTTACAGGATTACAGACAGCTTGCTAGCTATGGCGAGGCCTTCAACTGAAATCATAGAGAGATATAATATAATTGAACAGTTTCAAAGGTAAAGTAGTCTCCCTTTTTCACACACTGTTGGATTTATTTTCATGCAGGTCTTACTTAACATTTAGAGTAACAGTGAAATGAAGGTTGTTCAGTGGTTTGATCCAACTGTCTTGTGTTCACCTTCACTGCTGTCAGATGCCAGTGTGTAAATATTATTGTGAATATATGTGTTGCATTGACTGGTGGTGGTCTGTTGTATGAAATGCTCTGGACAATGACTCAAACATGTTGCTGTGCTCAGGTGTGGTTTGAAGACGGTCATTAACCTGCAGCGGCCCGGAGAACATGCCAGCTGTGGTAACGCACTGGAGCAGGAGAGTGGTTTCACTTATCGACCTGAAACGTTCATGGAGGCAGGCAGTGAGTCCCTGAATCCATCCTCACTAACACACTGTGGTCTCTCACACAGTAAACAGGTCACAAACCAATATGCATACCAAGTGTGACTTATACCCTTTTTCCATCAGAATTAACAGGTAAAAGCAGGTAAACCTGCTAATAAAAGCCAACTGACTCCTTTTCCACGAGTTTGCCTTTCTATTCAGACTGTGAACACACAACTGCAAGGAGCACACACACAGATGAGCTGCTAGCCACCCTGTGAACTGGTCTCATCCCTGGGTGGTTCTCCTGTAAAAGTGTCAGAGCCTCCATGTGAGACGCTTCAATCAGTGATGTTTTTAAAACTTATTTCGGGGCTGCAGCTCACTCTGTCATCCTTGAGCACAGTGTAGCTGCGATGTTTCTAGTTTAACAGCATTGTGCTGGACAGGTGACAATTGTGTTTATAGTGTTTGTGCTTTGAAAGTCATCATAGCAGGAGGAGGGGCGAAAATTAGCAAGTTCACTCGGGTATTGTGTTTACATCACTGCCGATTAGAGCTGGAGCGGATAAATACCTACGTCTACTGCAAAGTCATTTGAGCTGGTGTGAATGCTGATTGTTCTCTTTTCCATTGCTGACAAAAGCCTGATGTTTGTCTTAGTGGATTTTTGACCAGTGTCAAAGGGGCTTTACGACTTGGTAGGTAATTGGATTAAAATAACAAAATGCTGAATGTGTGTAATCACATGGTCATGCTAACATGTATCTGTAGTAATACAGAAAGCTAATGTGTTTGAACCATTGGAAAGTAAGGATGGAGCAGTCACTTGTGTTCCTGCGGCTGGTTACACCTGCTGTTCATCAAGACAATTCATTCAGATGATGAACGATTTAGTGATGTTTTAGTTTGTCTTTCTTAGACCGAGAAGTGTGCATCATGAGTTTAGTTGTTTTCTAATATTTACACCTACCAACTGTCAGATGTAGCGTTGCTTAATTGACTGGTATTAACACTATGAAGATCTGAGTTTTACTATTTTTACATTTGTCTTTTCAAGTGTCTCATTTCCTGATAAAATCTGTATGAGATTTAATGCACCTTTGTTTACATTTATACACCTCTGTTAGTTGAAGAATAATAACTTCTGCACTTTAGCATCAGCAATTAACAGTTAGCAATAGCCAACACCTGGCTAGGTAACAGTTATCCATTAACTAACACACACACACACCCTCACTCATACAGATCATTCAGTGATTGAGCTGGTCAGGGATCAGGTAGGCGCTTCACATGCTTTTTAACATTTTAAAAACCATTATTAATGCTGTCACATTTTTTTCTTGATCTGATTAATGAAGCTCAAAATAGCTTCAAACACTGCAGTCATTTCTGTTAAGTGTTGTTAAATTACAGGCAGTAACAGGAATAATATATCTCAACTAGTCTAATAATGTCCTTCATTAGTGGCATACTTTGATTAGATTCATCCCCTCTCTCTCTAAACTGTATGACAATATACCCCTTTATATGATGGTTTAATATGTCTTGTTGTATTAAAACCTTTTTTTTTTTTTTTTTAAATTGTCTCAAAGGCAGCTTCTTATGCTGCAGTGCATTCTGTGATTTCATTGTTTTCTATTTGGATGCTCCTGGAGATGTTTTCTAGCAACAGATTCACATAGTAGTAATTGCTTTACTGCCTGAGACGTCCTCAGTAGAAGGAGCCTCTAAGAATGTAGTGAAGACTTAACATGTAAAAATGGTGCAACCCTGGTCTCTATTAGGAAGAGTGGAGCTCTTTCCACATTTGTAGGAGGCCTGCATGACAAAAAAACAGTGGTAGAGAACGACTCTCTATGGAGCACATTTAATCTGTATCTTAGCATTCTACAGGAAAATGAGCAGCCGTCATAGATATAAGATAAGAGACTTACCTAGATATAACATTTTCCTCAGTACCATCCATCCATCCAGAATGTGATGTGCTCCTTAGTAACCGAGTGCCGAGGGATTCCACATGTTATGTCTGAGGAGGCCTTTTCTTAACAAGCTCTCTTGAGATCTTTACCTAAGTCACCTCATCAAAACATGAAAGCATTTTGAATAGTGCTGTCTATAATTTCACACTCAGTAAAAAGCCTCCAATATGAACTCTGGTTTGTTACTTTGCTATAGGCACACGTTTCTTCACACTCCAGTTTTATGAACAACTCTCTAGAGGCCCTCCCATTACCTTTGCACCAAATGAGCTCTGAACCAGTTCCGCTCAGGATTCGTGATGCTATCAAGCCAACCAGCCCATGTTTCCACCAGTTTTGAGCAGAGCCGCTGTAATTGAGGATGTGTCATGAATTGAGGGTGTTGCACAAAGTACAACAGAAGTAAACAGTAGTAGCAAGATAGTGGATTACATTCATTACCTGCAAGCTTTTCTTCAGTTATTACAGATTTTTGTTTACATCCAAAAAACAAGTTTGAACCAAAATTAATGATAAGAAGACGTAGAGGACTGTTACATGCATGTCCAATGGTGTGTAAAAGGTTTTCAGTTGCAAACATAGAGCCTACACAAGTGTAAAGGAAACTCTATGTAGGGTCAGCAAATAAGCTTTTAATTTATCACATACAGCACAGTTCAGAAGTGTGAAACCACAGACTTTTTATAAAACATTTTAAAAAATCATCATGGTTCACACCAACTCCCCAGGTTCCAAGCCTGTTTGGTCAGAAAGCTCCGAACTGTGACGTGATGTGACGTGATGTGATGTGAGGTGACGTGACGTGAAAGTAACATTTCTGTATCACACTACACATGACACAAGTCTGAATTGAATGCTGTCAGTTAAACTTAAAGGCTGCAGCAGCACAAGGTAAAATATGTGTAGAGAGATTAGATAAATAAGTGGGCTGCCTTCATCAATCACTTTAATACAGTTATTATCTCAGTCACCATCTCTTATGCACAAAGAAGATAAAATCAGGTTAATGAAGCAGGAAACACTGCAGAAGAGCTTATTTTAAGTTGTTCCCATATCAGATCTACCACTGCTTTCATACATCACAGTCTGTTTCCGGGCTGCGACAGAGTATCAGGGCCACATTGAGGAAAACAAAGAAATCTGAAATTTTGGGAATATATATCATAATAAATCATAATATTACAAGAATAAAGTGATAATTTTACAAGAAAAAAGTCCTAATATTATGAGAATAAAGTGGTAATTTTAGGTTGTGTGTTGTTTTAGAGGGGAATATCAGATGAGCAGCGAGAAAAAAAAAACACAATTTTTAGGAATATTACCAGCAACCAATCAAACAGGTGAAAGGACAGTCAGCTGCTTCTAACACTGCTGTTTGTCTGTCTGACAATGGAATAGACTAATTTTCTGCACAGTCTTTTTAGTGTCCTGATGCTGCTGATGATGATGATGATGTTGATGACCCAAAAGATGAAGTATCTTCTTATTTGTGAAACCTCTGTTATAGGAGAACTTCACAGGATACTCCATGTTCTTCAAAGCTTCTGATATTCCCCTCTAAAACAACACAGAACCTAAAATTACCACTTATTCTTCTCATAATATTATGACTTTATTCTCAAAATTTAAGATTTTTTTTTTTCCTCAATCTGGCCCTAATACTGCGTCATACCAGGCGACTGCATATAGTATGGAAAATGGTGTGTAAAGCCAAAAGTCTTTAGTGTCTTCAGACAGAGCTGTCTGAAGTCTGATACACGCCCTCAACTGATACTTAAGAAAAAATTCTGGGGGTGTGGAATCATAGAGAAGTGATGTTACCAGAGTAAGCGGTGGGTGGCTTTGTAGGTAATGCAGACACCGGGTTTTGACAAAGAAGAAACAAAAAGACGACCTATTTCTGCTGCATCAATTTTGATCCTCTTTTTTTTTTTTCTGTCCATCATGAGTCAGATGTTATGTGAGTGCAAGGCTAAATTAACAGTACTCTTTAAATTAAAAGACTCCTACTTTGTAGCTGAATGACAAAAAGCCTGTACTTTAACAGGTATTGGAAGCCAGCTACGTCCTCCATATCTGAAATTGCATCAGGAAGAAAAATAAATTCAATCCTCTGGCTTTTTATGTTTCAGTCTATTACTACAACTTTGGCTGGAAGGACTATGGCGTGGCATCTCTTACTACAATCCTTGACATGGTGAAAGTCATGTCATTTGCTGTCCAAGAAGGGAAAATGGCCGTCCACTGCCATGCTGGTCTTGGAAGAACAGGTTTGTAGCACCAGCAATTTGGAAGCGCTTCAATCCTCACCCGTGCTTGTAAAATATCAGTTTTATGTCGTTTTATTTTTTTTTCGCGTAGGTGTGTTGTTGGCCTGCTACTTGGTCTTCACATCCCGCATGAGTGCTGACCAAGCCATCCTGTTTGTGCGAGCCAAGAGACCCAACTCCATCCAGACCAGAGGCCAACTGCTGTGTGTCAGGGAGTTTGCCCAGTTCCTGGTTCCTCTACGAAGCGTCTTCTCCTGTGCAGAACCCAAAGCGTGCGCCGTCACCTTGTCCCAGTACCTCACCAGGCAGCGCCACCTGCTGCACGGCTACGAGGCTCGGCAGATGAAGAATGTGCCAAAAATTGTCCAGCTGGTGTGCAGGCTCCTCATTGACATCGCAGCCAACAGACAAGTGGTGATCGAGGAGGAGTGGCTGGAGATCCCCGACCTCACAGCAGAGGTGGAAAAGACTGTGTCTCAGCAGGCCCTTCAGCAGCTGGGGAAGGAGATGAGAGGGAAGGGGATTCCTGTCCCACTTTGTTTATCTAATCCTCTCAGCCCACCAGCTCTGCAGGCCAGACCCTCACATGATCAGCCTCTCGCCAGTGATAATGACCTCGACCCTCTGTGGAGGCAGCAGAATGTCGAGAGCCCTCTAAGATCTAATCTGTATAACAACAGGAGCCTCAGTGATTCTGTCCTTCACAAACTCAAACCACAGCAGCACCATTTAGAAAAACTGAATAGCAAGAAACAAATCAGCTGCCTGATCAAACGTTCCCTGTCTCACAGCAGCCTCTCAGGCTCTAAACCCTCCAGATGTTGTGAACTCTCTCCTCAGGACATCAGCATCATTCAGGACGCAAATACAGAGGCAGAGCAAGACACTGGGTCTCCTTTTTTAAAAAAGCAGCTACGTAAGGGTCATCAGAGTTTGTCTTTAGATCTTTCAGAGCTGGAAAGAAAATCCCACTGTAATGCCACACTGCCAGCCTTATCAACCAAGAGCAGATGGGTAACCAGTGAGGAGCAGTCAGATGTGGATGTGTCAGTGGGTGGAGCAGAGAGAGAGAACGTCACAGAGGTTCCCTTCATCAGCCTCCAGTCTGAGCTCTCTCCAGAGAACAGACGCCTGCTGGTGGCCAAAGTTCTGGCCATGGACCTGACGGACAAAGACCTCACCTACAAGGTGTCAGTGTGGCAGGTAGGGTCCTCCATAACACACAAGCAAATAATACCACGTATTAACACGGAATAATACAAAACCTCTAAACTACTGCTTAACTGGAAGCTCTGATTTAAAGCTGTATTTTTCTTGCCTATTGACACCTCATGTCAGTCAGTTCATTGTAAGAATGCTCTTTGCTGTGATCTACAGACAGAGCTGAACTCCAGAGAGGGGGCGTGGGAGAGGCTGTGTATGGAGAGAGATCCTCTGGTCCTCTCCGGTCTGATGTGGTCGTGGCTGGAGCAGCTCAAGGACCCAGTCATCAGCAGTGAGGACATAAAAGCTCTGAGTGGGAAGAATGTAAATCCAGAGAACACCCTCGACTCACTGGAAAAGGTACGTCACTCTCAGAAACAAACACTGGCAACACTGACACACTGACACACTGTGTAACTCGGTGTCCACTTACACTGTAACACTTGATTATGGAACAAATTATAATCCTGGTAATTTTGCAAAATACTATGTCCTGTTTTCATTGTTAATTCCTTAAAGGCAGTCCACACTGACAGTACACAACAGGAAATGAGAATCAATGAGACTGCCAGTTCAGAACACAACTAACAAACTAACATACTGAAAAAGTTTGTAATCATGTGTTTGAACAAATTATTTCTTGTCTTTATTTCAAAACTACTGACGAGACACTTTACAACATTACATTCAAAAGATGAGCAGTTTCAATAATTAACCCAGTCTGCCATTTTTGTCTGGACTGCAACAGCAGGGCCAGCCCTATAATCCCAAATGTCGCTGAATGACTGACTGAGTGATGATATTTCCACCACTGGTCAGTGGAGTGTTGAGCCTCAGTCTATTGAGCCGCTCTGGCTTACCAGCTGCTCAGGAACTGCAGGGAAGAGGAGGAGCACTTCCAGTACAGTGAGCCTCTCCTCCATTACAGCAAATAAACTACTTTCATTACATGTGTCATTTTTACTAAAGGAGGCAGAGGAATAACTAAACATAAGACACACAGAGCAGAGAGAGCAGGAGAGAGAGAGAGAAGTCATCGGTAACGAGGCTTCGTACTAACGACTATGACCAACTCTACATATCAAACAGAGGGAGTTAGACATAAAGACCTGCCTCTAATAAAAGTCTGTTACATTCTGGAGTTGAAGTAAATAAAGAATAAACTATTGTGGATCCAGATGGAGGCTGTGCTCTGTGTGAGGGACTGAATAAGAAAGATCGTCTGTCTCTGGCCCCAGTGGTTCACCTGGTGGAGCAGGTGTCATTTTGACTTAGTCTTTGCGATGGCAGCCCGGGTTAAAAAACGATCTGTGGCTCTTTGCTGCATGTCATCTCCTCTCTCTCTCTCTCTCTCTCTCTCTCTCTCTCTCCCTCTCTCTCTCTCTCTCTGAAATAAAGGCAAAAGCCTGAAAAAATATCTTAAAAAGAAAGATATTCTGTCCTCTTCCTACTTTCTGATCATGTTACAGTAAACACAGCTGAAATCACAGCTCAGTCCTTGTCTTTAGTTTATGTGTTTAGTGATTTTGTCAGATGACGTCACAGTTATAAAATCAGGATTAGACCATAGGCGGTCCAGACGGATACTAGGTTCTAGTCTAGTTGTGGTTTTATTTAATACAGAAAAAAGTTCAGTAATTCAACAACAGTGTGTTTTTTCTTTCTTTTAACCAAAATGATGATCGCTCCCTGACCTTAAAACGCCTTTGTTGCCTAAATCTAACCACAGATGGGACTCAGTCGTGCACTTTGTACACCCACCATCCACCCCAAACACCTCCTGGCAAATCTGCTGTCATTAATACATTCACTCAAAAAAAAACAAAACAACTTTACTGAACATCATCCAGCCAGTATCTAGTCTGCTGTTTGAAGCTGGTTCCATCTTTTATCTTGTCATTGATCTTTTATTCCAATACTACTACAGTGTTGTCATGTGATCTGTGACCTTTCCACTGACAGGGTCACCGGCTCACTTTGCTCTGTATCCTCGACTGTGCTGCTCATCTCCTGCCAATGCCTGAAGAAGTGAAGACTAGTTTTCTCAACCAAACAATAAAAGTGTTTACTAAGGTGAGTATTAACATAAGCTGTACACTGAATATATTAAGATGCGTATTTAGTTTGCATGAACTCGTTTTTTTTTTCTTTATCTCCAGATTGATCCTGCTTCAGAGAAGAATGAGTCATTATACATGACACTAAAAGCAATCCTGACTCCCATTCTTCATGAGCTGCGTGACAAAGCTGTGGACGTGAATGAAGAGTCCTGATCCAGCCTCAACATGATAAGTGTGACAAGAGGAAGAATTACACACAGGGTTCCACTCTAACTTTTGGGCATTACTGTGTTTTAAGCCGGTTCCTTGCATCAGATTCTGCTGAGATCTGCCAATCTTTTGTCTCTCAAGATTGAAGATTTGTCATATGAAGTTTAGGATTTTGTTGTTGTTGTTTGAAGCGCTTAATAGACTCTAAGCACTGCCATTCTCTGTGTTAATGTGCCACTGTGCTCAGTTTGAAAGCATTTGTTCGTCATCTGTTCTACTGTAATATTTGTGAGGGACTTGATGTTGCTTTTATTATGTACCTGTTAGTGGGTAGGAAATGACTGAGAAACATTCTCATGATGTTAATGTTATGTTATTTAAATGTGTTACGCAGCTGTCAAAGCTGTTGGGGTTGGGGGGGGTCTTATTTAAACCAAAAGATGTTTTACACTGTGCAGATGCTACAATGTGTCTTATTTATTCCGATCTTTTTATTTGAAATGCAGAAATGAGTTTAACAACCATAACCTGACGACAAGTCGCAAGGTTGCTTTGTTCCTGTAGAATGTAAGCTGTTCTCTTAGACCCAAATGCAAACTGTGGCTATTGTTATGGCAATGCAAACTCAACAGACCACACTGCATTTGTTTTCCCAATCAATTTTTATGTCCTTAATACTGTGTGCACCAAAAACTCACTGTACTGTTCTTTACATGCATTTGTAAAACATCAATCTGCCTCTACGCTACTCTTTAGCTAAATGCTGCCTCAACTGAAATGATCTCTGTCTGGACTAGGCTGCTTTTTGTGTGTGTGTGTGTGTGTGTGTGTGTGTGTGTGTGTGTGTGTGTGTGTGTGTGGCTGCTGTTGAGACAAGTCAGGGGCTGCCTCTCACCTCATATGTCTCATACATGGACACAGTGTAATGTAGATCTGCTGACACATGCAGGCTGAATGTGGAACACTAATGATGATAATATGAAGGACGTGAGGATTTTCAGCAAGCACTATTTTTTCATTGTTACAGTGGGCTACTTCTTACACAATTAAACACAAGTGACTGCAAGCTGTACGCACTGAGTCTTTTTTTTTTAATGATTTTCAGCATGAAACTGAGAAAGAAAAGTGTACTGTGGGGGGGGGGGGCGCTTTACATGTAACATCTTGTTTCTCAATATCTTATCTTTGCTTAGCAGACTTTGATGAGTAAGTGATAGTGATGTCTAGCCATATCCAGAAAGAAAGAAAGAAAGATGGTAAGAATTGTTAGATAGAGATTTCAGAGTGTGACTTGTTGGGATGGATGTCTGTGCTGTCTAATTTGTGACAGGTTGCACGGGTTGAAATCACCAATGAAAGCCCCTGCAGCAACTTGGCTTGAGGGAGTCGGAGTCCCACCTGAGACCTCTCAAAATATCATGTTTCATATGTAGGAATAATATTGAATATTTGGCTGTATAAATTTGCCAAGAAAAAATTAAGTGTGCAAAGCTGATCACATAAATACTAATCCTTACAAACCGCTATATTACGCTTAAGCAGCTTCACCTCAAGAGCCTTACTTGGCATTTTCTCTTACTTCAGAGGGGCATTAAATTTAGTGACAGCTACAAATTACTATTGACGTAGCTGTAGGGAAATCAGGGAGGGAGCCTTTGTCACGGCCCAAAGCTGTGGAACACATGACCTGTAGATATCAGGTATAGATATCTATAGATACAGATATTAGCGAGAAGCAGATCACTGTTTTTAAAAGAAAACTTTAAACTTATCTCTTCACTTTGCTCAGCACTTCTTTTAAATGCTGTTATGAGTTGATGTCTTACTGATTTTATGCTTTCTATGTCATTTCTACATTTCTACATATGAAATGTAGCACTTGAGCTATATTTCTTGTATTAAAGGTGCTATACAAATAAAATTTATTATGATTATCATTTTGACAATAATTAGGAAAAGCATCAAGTTCTTTTTTACCCTCTTTCTCCTTATAAGGAATCCTCTTTCCCTTTTCCATGGGGAAATATGTGAGTAAACCTCACACTCCACCTCTGAATCTCCTCTTATGGGACCAGTCAGGGTAATAGCAGACAAATTGGGGCCTTCAATTGCTCAGCATGTACCAAACTGCACACAGTAACTGGTACACTTAGTGTGCCTAAATTGGCAGTAGCAAGAGCAACGATAGAACAAATAGAAGCAGAGGCACAAGGTGAAAAGAACAATTTGGGAAAACCATTTTGTATGGATTGGGCAGTTTTCCAGAGAGATAGGACAGAGACAGACAAGGCTGCAGGAGAGGGAAGATAAGAAACTCTCAAGGCTTGGGAGGCAGAGATTATGGTGATGCACGAACATGTCTAAGACAAATAAAAGGAAAAAATCACCAATAAGTGTACAAACAGCTTCCAAAGCCTGCCTTGGAGACCTGGGAGATATGTCTCCTGTGTCTAATCAGTGCCTAACTCAGTGGAGCAGTAAGTGTTATGTCCAACAGCTGGACAGCAGAGAGCAGATGTAGAGTAGATTGTGTGAGATATATACTCCAACACCAGTGGACCTCATGATGAAGCTGTGGCTTACTGCAGATTCATAGTCCACGCTCGAGACAGTCTCCGTAGGACTAACTTTTTTGGGGAAGCAAGATAAAGACAAAGAAAGTGATAGCATAACAAGACATAATCATAACGAGATGTAGCATAGCACGACATGACATGAAATAACATAACATGATGGCATACACTACTGCAGAGAACAACTGACAGCTTTTTGTTATATGAGAGAAAAACAATAAACACATATGATATAAAGAAATAAGGTCTCGGGAGCATCCGTTGGTGGAAGAAGTGTGCAGTACTGGGTAGTTGGAAGCTGCTTGGTTTGTTATGGTCCGGTGATATAGTGGGGAGATGGGATTGGTTTGGTTGGTTTTGAGTTTTGAGTTGTAATATGGAAAAAAAATGCATGGAGTTTGTTGGTAAACAAGCCGAGTCTGGTGAAAAAAACAGTGAAAAATACATATTGAAGGGCAAGGAAGAAGTGAAACGTGACCATCTACCGCCACCATCAGGTCCATTTCAAAACATGCAAACAGACCTCGTACATGTCTCTAAATCGTGATTACTGTAGACATGTTCTCAAAGTAATTTGAGATGTTCCCCACAAGAAACACAAGATGACACGACAGTGGAAAAACTGTCTGGTGGAAGAAAAATATTCTCAGATTCTGTCTCCCACATGAAGTTCACAAGTTTGAAATGGCCAGATACTTTAGTGATATACAGTATGCTATCTGAAATACTGCTAACAGAACATGAAGCATTAATGGGATGACCGATGTCCACAGGTGCACATTACCCACCTGCTGACACACACTCACCTCACAGACTTGCTCTGATATGAAAAGAGGAATCCATGGCTGACTGTGTACTGGCTCTAACATTCTGAGAATGTGACTTGAATTTTATTCATTGGTAGTCAGTGTGGTCGATGATTAGCAGAGTGACATGTGATCTTTCGGGCTGATCAAAGACCAGATGGGCTGCTGCATTCTGGACCATCTGTAACGGTTTCATTGAGCGAGAAGGGAGGCCTGTCAGAGGGGCACTGCAGTAGTCGAGGTGAGAGGTAACCGTGGTCTGGACCAAGAGCTGGGTGAAGTACTGAGTCAGGTAAGGCCTGATTTTTCTGAGATGGGTGCAACATGGTCTGAGAAGGATAGCTTGGGGGGCTACAACATGTAGTGTTTTATTTAATCTAAAACTAAAGTCACAGAATCTAATAATACATAAGACCATAATTTGGTATTTCATTTAAAACCCACCTCCTCTCGCCCTGGGAGGACAACTTTATGTCTAAGCATCTATTCTTACATTATTTTACATTGTTAAAAATAAGCTATCTGTTTTAATCCAGTATATTTTTGTAGTCCACTAATGTATTTTCTATTTAATGGGACACCTCAATGTAACTGGCAATGTAAGTTTTGAAAATTAAAATTGGGGGTGCTTTTGTTTTTGAGAGAGAAATGTGACGCTACTATGCCGTGTAAAGCTGCACACACGCAGCTAACGAGCTAACCGCTATGTCTACAAGGTGATTGCAAATCATCAGAGTCAAGTCACTGAGTGTGAGCACAGTAGGCTGGTAACCAGAGAGTAGTGATGAAGTGAAATGAAAGAGAAGTACCTGCTCTCCTCGCTGTATCCAGTTTTTATATGGCAAGACCAACCAATCAGATGTAAATTAAGTTTGATTATTGGAATGTGTCATGTTATTGACAAGTACAAAATAAAATACTTTTTAGTTATTTTTTTGAATTTTGGGATGCCCGCGACCAGGCCAGAGTTAAAGGTGGCATTCCTTCCTTAATTTTACTTTTGTGAAATCATAAGCTTCTCTTGTCCGAGGTGAACAGGACTATATCAGGTGCTGTTGACTACAAGAACTACCATAAAGATGCACGCAAGGCAAAATGGATCCATGTCACAAGGTGCCAAAAAGATTCAATTAGGGGAAATGAGGGCAGGACTGTGCCAACTGACAGAGTGGCCGGAGAAAATCATAAGTGGCATCGCCTTCATCATCCTTGAGGACAATGCAAAACAGTCACTAGATTGCAAGAGTTTTAGGACATGAACTACAGTGCTAGGACAATAGCACCGCTGTGGGTACCAAGAGAGTTCACAACAAAACACGTCATCACAGGACATCAGAAGATGGTAAGATGCGTAGAAAATGTAGCTTTTATGAGTCAGCTAAGTTCCAAGTTAACCCTGGTGACGCCTCATCTTGTCATCTCCAGGAACATTCAGTGAAAACCCTGGATCTATGACTATGACACCTGTTATGATCGATTTGTGTGTGATGTTATAAGGGCAGAATATTCCCTTTCATCCAAAGAGTGTTCTTGTTAGAATGCCCAGAACCCTATAGGGCTTAGGCTGTTCATTGGTATTGTTCCATTTTTATTTTTTTTATTGTTCCATATCATTTTCTTTTAGAATCACTTGTGGACATTGAGACAGTTTGATTCTCTTAACCAGCAGAAAGCAGTTACATCAGTACTATGTTTAAAACCAGTTGTAAATTAATGCACAGGTGTAACAACAACAAGAGATTATTCGGGACACACACATTATAGGGTTAGGGTTAAAGGTTGCTTTATCCATAAAGAAATCAATTAACTGAGACATCTGTATCTTGGTATGGGTCTGTGAGTGTGACTCTGCTCCAATTATTGTAGGCCATTGAGATTTTCTTTCATTTATATTTTGTAGTCAGCTAATTAATGAATTATGAGATGTTTATCTTAATAAACATCACATTTTCACACACAGATGATACATCAGGGGCAATTTGGGGTTTAGTATCTTGCCCAAGGACACTTTGTAATGGGGGCTGAAGGAGTCGAGAATCGAACCATTGACCTTTTGATTATTGGATGACACTGTGTGACCTATGACCTCTGTGCTTGCTGATGTTCTTCTGAGGATGGCCACTGTGTGGCTCTGCAAAATTGAATTCATATGTCATCTGTACAAGTAGTTTTGTTTGATGTTGATCTTACAATCATGAAGGGGACGACTATGGTAGAATTTATTGAAATGTATATGTGAAATTGCTGAATCACTGTCAAACTGTTTTTTTTAGTAACTCATCAAAGTAACTGTAACCTTTAACAGCAGACTGTCCAGTCGTGAAGACTGCAGTGGCTCTGTGTCTGCGGGAGGCTTATTGTAAACCATCCTTACCTGTGTGGAGTCTGTTTCCTGGGCCCAGAGTAAATGCATTCATTTAAGACAACAGAGACTGAC